AGGAGTTTGAGAGAGTCAAGACAAAAGATGTGGCTGATGTTTGGACAGTACTTCCCAGAAGTCCAATGGAATAATCACAACTGAAAGGAGAGGTAAATCTAAGTTCTTACAGATGGTGAAATGACTGTTTCCCCTTCCCCATTCCTTAACCTCTGAAGAGCAAATGTTAAATCCAAAATTTTCCTGTTCTTTGAAGTTTTTTTTCTCTTACATATCTGTTTCATTAGTACTAATGTCAACTTAGATCAGTCATAATGGCTTCTAGTTGGCTGGCTTTGTTATTTGTGAATTTTTAAAAGAGGGCTAGCATTTAGACAAGGTATACATATGAAAGAGAAAGGGAGAACATGGACCTGCTTTATCTGAACTGTGCATTTGCATGTGTGTGTGTGTGATTTGGAATAATTTTTTCACTACTCTGCTCTATATTTGTTCAGAGGAACCCCTCCATGGGGCAAAGCCAAGGTCAGTGACCAGGGAAAAGTCCTTAACTTGTGCAAGAAAGGGAGTGACAAGACTGATGTCCACATTCCAAATATGGGGGCTAGAAGAGAGGAAGTGAGATCCAGCTCTTTCTCAGAAGTTCAGCAGGTGAATTTTTCCTCCTTAAAGACACATTGTTACATAAGAAAGGAGGATGACTTGTGCCCATGTTTGAAATGAGAAAATAGAAAGGAAATAGAATAGTCTCAGAAACTTCTGAATAAAATGGCATCCTATTCTTTCTTTCCTGTGTTCAAATATTCCTAACAATATTGCACATAAAAGCAGTTTTTCATATATAGATTTAATAATATGGGGAAAAGAATTATCATTTTCTGACAATTCTACCTAAATCAATTTATTTATTCAATGCCATACCAATCAAACTACCAAAAACTTATTTTATAGAGCTAGAAAAAATAATAACAAAATTCATCTGGAAGAATCCAGAACATCAAGGGAATTAATGAAAAGAAATGCAAGGGAAGGTGGCTTAGCCATACCAGATCTAAAACTGTATTATAAAACAGCAATCATCAAAACTACTTGGTACTGGCTAAGAAATAGATTGGTGGATCGGTGAAATAGGTTAGGTATACAAGACACAGTAGTCAATGACTATAGTAATCTATTGGGTTTCAAAGACTCCAGCTTCTGGGATAAGAACTCACTATTTGACAAAAACTGCTGGAGAAACCAGAAAATAATATGGCAGAAAGTAGGCATAGACCAACACCTTACACCATATACCAAGATTAAGTCAAAATGGGTACACAATTTAGATATAAAGGGTGATACTATAAGCAAATTAGGAGAGCAAGGAATAGTTTACCTGTCAGATCTATGGAGAATGGAAGAATTTATGACCAAACAAGAGATAGAGAACATTATGAAATGCAAAATGGATAATTTTGATTACATTAAATTAAAAAGTTTTTGCACAAACAAAGGCAATGCAGCCAAGATTAGAAGGGAAGAATTAGAAAGCTAGGAAACAATTTTTACAAGCAGTGACTCTAATAAAGACCTCATTTCTAAAATATATAGAAAACTGAGTCAAATTTATTAAGAATACAAGTCATTCCCCAATTGATAAATGGTCAAAGGATATGAACAGGCAGTTTTCAGATGAAGAAATTAAAGCTATCTATAGTCATATAAAATACTCTAAATCACTATTGATGAGAGAAACACAAATTAAAACAACTCTGAGGTACCACATCACACCTATCAGATTGGCTAATATGACAAAACAGGAAAATGATGAATCTTGGAGAAGATGTAGGAAAATTGGAACACTAATGCATTGTTGGTGGAATTGTGAACTGATCCAGAATGGCTGGGGAGCAATTTGGAACTATGCCCAAAGAGCTATAACACTGTGTATGCACTTTGATCCAGCAACACCACTTCTAGGACTGTGTCCCAGAGATCATAAAAATGGGAAAAGGACCCACATGTACAAACATATTTATAGCAGCTCTTTTTGTGGTGGTAAAGAATTGCAAATTGAGGAGATGCCCATCAACTGGGGAATGGCAGAACAAGATGTAGTATGTGAATGTAATGGAATACTATTGTTCCATAAAAAATGATGAGCAAACAGACTTCAGAAAAACCTGGAAAGACTTACATGAACTGATGCTGAATGAAGAGAGCAGAACCAGGAGAACATTGTACTCAGTAACAGTAATACTGTGTGATGACTAACTTTGATAGACTTAACTCTTCTCAGCAATGCAATGAGCTAAGACAATTCCAAAAGACTTATGATGGAAAATGCTATCTACATCCGGAGAAAGAACTATGGAGTCTGAATGCAGATCGGAGAATGCTATTTTCTCTTTTTGTTACTGTTTCTTCTTTTTTGTGGTTTTCCCCTTTGGTTCTGATTCTTCTTTACAACATGACTAATATGGAAATATGTTTAATATGATTGTACATGTATAGCCCATATCATATTGCATGCCATTTTGGCAAAGGGGGAGGGGGAGAAAATTTAGAACTCAAAATCTTATAGAAGCAAATGTTGAAAACTAAAAATAAATTAATTTAAAAAAAAGAATTATTTTCTCCAATGTTATGAAACTATCACTGCCGACTTTTATTTAAATGTCTACAAATGTTAATTTCAAATGTAATTTCAGACATCTGCATACGTTAAATCCAAATACATTTGGAAGCCAGAGGCATCCAAAATATTCATCTCCTCTGCAACAAAGAGAGGTATCAGCCTTTGAAACAATACGAGGATGTTGTTAACAACAACAGCAACAACAAAATCTATAGAAAAGTTCTTATATCTTTGAATATGGCACTTTGAGTTTTTTAAACCACCAGAAAGCTTGAAAATCTGTGTATGCCTTGAGCCAGCCTACTGTGACACCATACCTGGAAAAAGAGTCTCAAGAAAGGTATGTAAGTATATACATACTTAGACGGTCAGGAATTTATAGTTCAGAGATTGTTTCAATCATGTCTGATTCTTTGGGACCTCATTTGGGGTTTTCTTATCAAGGATACTAGAGTGGTTAGCCATTTTCTTCTCCATCTCATTTTACAGATGAAAAAACTGAAGCATACAAGGTTAAGTAATTTATTCAGGGTCACACAGCTAGTAAGTATCTGAGGCCAGATTTGATTTTAAGGAATATGAGTCTTTCTGACTATAGGCCTGGTGCTGTATCCACTGTGCCACCTATGTGCCCTACAGTCAGGAAGACCAGAATTGGAATTTGACCTTAGGTACTTACTGTCTGTGTGACCCTGAACAAGTCACTTAATTTCTGTTTGCTTCAGTTTCCTCAGCTGTAAAATAACAATAGCACCTATCTCAAAGGTTAGTTTGTGAGGACTAAATAAAATAATATTCATAAATTGTGCTTAGTACAGTGCCTGGCACATAGTAGGCACTATATATATTCTTATTCCCTCTTTTTTTCCCCCTATATAAACAAGAGGGTAAAAAAAAAGAAATTACAAATGATAGCACATATTTTGTCCTATTGTTGCAGTATCTCCTTTTTAATATTGACTTTAAGAAAATATTTCTAATCATTTCTTAAAATATTTCTAATCATACATACATACATACCTACATATATATATATATATATAGAGAGAGAGAGAGAGAGAGAGAGGGGGACAGAGAGACAGAGAGACAGAGAGACAGAGAGAGAGTAATTTTGTTTTTCACAAATTCAGACATGAACATTCCCCCCCACAAGAACAGCAAAAATAAGTTTGGAAATTTCTGGCACTTCCCTTGGCTCCCAATGTTTTCTAATCCTTCAATATCCCTCCATGATACATGATTCCCATCTCCTACTAAATTCCTTTTAAGGAACAGGCCTGGAGCAGCTATGCTAACAACTTTGTTATGATGCCCAGGTGGGTAACCCTTTTCTTTTCTATCCTTTCTAGTTCTATTTCATATTTTGTCTTTCTCCATTAGAATGTCAGCAGCTCCTTGAAGGCAACGATTGTTTTTTGTTTGTTTGCTTGCTTGCTTATATTTCTATTCCCAGTACTTAGTCCAGTGTCTGTCAATAAATGCTTGCTATTCATGTGCCTCCATGGGAAACCACAAATCTCTATTACATGCAGCTAGTTTTTTTAAATATAAAATGAAATCAATCAGTTAGTTTCAAAACTATTCTACCAGTTTATGTCCTTTTTGAACTTCCTTTAGTTCTATTGTACATTTAAAAAAAGTATGTCAATGACAGTTTTGAGGGGGGAGCATTACTATCCCCTCCCCCAATGTACCCCTCCCCCAATTGTACCTCCCCCAATGCCCTCCCCCGTATGAAAAAAACACAATTGAGCAAAACGAAGCCACAAATTGGCAGTATCCAAAAATGTATGTCTCATCCTTCACCTCTCTCGTTAGGAGGTGTGCAACATGTTTCATAATTAGCCCTCTGAAATTGTAGTTCCAATAATTTCTTTCTATAAGTTAGACTTTATTCTACATAAGACTTTGGAATTTTGGACATTTTAATAGATATCTATATTTATTTCCTTTTTTTCCCCTGAGAAACATTTCCCTTAGATCTATTCTAATTCTTTTCAGGTTTTGTTACAAGTGGAAGAAATAACATATAGGAAAAGTTGATGTCGTGGATCACAGTGCTTGGTGGTAACTTTAGTTTTCATCTGATTTTTTATTCATGATGATGGTTATTATGTTTAGTTCACTCAGAGTGTTAAGTTAGAATTTCAGTTAGATTCCAGTTTTCCCCATTTTGAGAAGTCAGGGCCAAGAATTGATTCCTAAAAGGGGGAAAGCACATAAAGATGAAGCTTGAAATAAAAGCTGTTATGTAAAAAGCAATTCACTTTATTTTGGCTATGGGGTCTTAAAATCAGACTTTGATCTGACAGGCTAAAGTTTCTTCAAAGATTAACTGGCCTTCTTTAAAAGTACATCAGTTTCCTCTTAGGTAGATATTTGCATAGCAGTGAACTGGGTGTTTATTGCTGCAAATCATTTGCTGGTCTGTAGATTTCCTTAAGAAATTCTGCTGACATCATTGACTTTTCTCAGATTCCTTTCCTTCGGGCTCCCTCTCCTCTCACTTTCTCCTTTCTCTAGTTCATTCAGGTAATTGATATTCAAAATCAAACCAACTTTTTTTTTCAGTAACAGTGAACAAAAACCATTTTCATTTTTTCTATTTTCCTGAAGGACCCCGAGTTGGCTGTTAATTCCTTGTTCTGTTATGACAACATCTAAAAAGAAGTCTGCATATATTGATCTTTGCAGGTAAGAGGTACATACTTATTAAAACAGTGGAGCATGTAATGATTTGGGAGCTATGTAAAAACCACCACAGCAACACCTTTCTTTCTAAAGTTCAAGCCTTAAATTATGAGTTTTTAAAAAGCAGTTTCAGGAATTCAAGAGTGTAATTCAGTAATTCAATCTTGTCAGAAAGAATTTAAGAAATACTTTTTACTTGTAGAAAAATGGTTAATATTTAAGGATGGCATAGGGAGATTTTTTTTATTTATTAAAAAACAATATCCAGATATCATGTTTGCTGTGTGTTAGAGAGCTTTAGCTCTTAGGAGAAACATTCTTATTTCTTCTCTTTGTATAGGTTTCTTTTATTTCAGAATTTTTGAGAGTTATGTTTTTTTCTGGATTTTATGTTATGTTTTAAAGCTTTTTCCCCCAATAACTTTCTGTCAGTTACTTTTCTTTTATTGGTGGAAGAAAGAAGTTTAAGTTACTGTTAAGGAAAACTTGATCAGGGCATTTTAAAATTGGTTGCTTAGCCATGTAAGAAGAGATTATGTAAGTTTTCTGTGCTAGGTATAAGGAATGTAAACAATTCTGACTTGGAGGACATTTTGAACTGTTCCTGATCCATAGAAGGTACCTTTATACGTTTAGGCTTAGTCTCTGAAAATAAATCTACACTGGCTGAAATTTCCCCATGATATTTAGTTATGTTTACTACTTCTGCTTTCCTTCATATTTTGCCTAAAGGCATTCTAATACATATGCAAACTTATTTCCTTTTTTTCTTCCCTAAGAAACATTTCCCTTAGATCTATTCTAATCCTTCTTTTTTACACCTTTTTTTCCAATTTTAACAGCTTATTTATCTTACAAAAAAATAAAAATTAGTATGCTCTTGATTTATTGTACACTTAAGATCAAAGTTATCTTCTGCTTTGTACTTCCTCTAAGTTCAGACCTCAAGATTCTCCTTTGCCCCATTTTTTTCATTTTAATTAAAAATGCTCTTTTTTTCTATTACTCAGAGAATCTTAGAAAAAAGTACAAAAATTGCTAAAACTAACCTTTTGATTTAAAACAATATATATGTATAGGTGTGTGTGTATGTATATGTGTGTGTATGTATATGTGTATGTATGTATAAAACAATCAGTAATCACATACTGAGAAAGGGGGAAGAGGAGTAAGGAAGAAGGTGAATTAATTTTCTTTCGTTGCTGGTAACTTTAAGAATTTTTTAAAAAACTGGCTCAGGTGTTGGACAAAATTGTGCTATTTATAATTGCCATCACACGTGAAAATTGAGTGCCCCCAAGATTTTAAACATAGTAGAATTCCACTAGTAAAAATAGACAAAATAGTTGTCACTCATAAATTTAAAAAGTCATTCTTAGACATGCAAGTTTAAACATGGTCTTGCCAATACCACAATAATAATAATAGGCTGAAATGCAGAAAAATCTAATAAAAAAGAAAAAACCAACCAGCTTTTTATTTTATTTTCAAGTTGTCATCCAGAATTTAATTTCCCTTTTTTTTTTCTTCTCGACTGTACTTAATGCTTATATTTTAGAGTTTTTCCCCACTGAGTTATGTGGCCACAGTCTTGGGTTGCTTATGTAAAATAAAACTTCTTCAAAGGCTTCATTCCATCCCTTTGTCTTTCCCACTGAACGAAACAAAAATGTGTGGTCATTTTATTGAAAAAAAATTCCCTACTTCCCTCTTCTGACATTTCTAACTGGTATGGATGGTTCTCTTTAAGAACAGGTAGGCATTGACAGGCATTATACCTTTAATCCCAGCTATTGTGGAGAATGGTACTGGCAGATCTCTTGAGTTCCAGAATTTTGAACTTCAGTGGGTTATGCCTATCAGATTTCCACACTTAATTTTGTCAATAATATGGGGTGGGTGCTCTCCCTCTTCTCCCACTGAGTTGGAGACTAACAGGTTGCCTAAAGACAAATGAACCAGCTCAGGTCTGAAATAGTGCAGGTCAAAAGTTCCCAAGGGAATCGACAGTGAAATAGAGCCATGAGTAACAGCCTGAGCTTTTCTAGCCTGAGTGAGACAGGGACATCTAGTATTTAAAACTAATGTCAGATAGGGCTTATAGAGGAAACGTGAGCTAAGCATTTAAGAGTGCAACTTAGATGTCTTTTGAACATTGGAAGGTTTCATGTTAATTGTCTCTTCCAAGATTTTGTTTTCTTTTTAATTCTTTCCTGCTCATTAACAAGAAAATTTGTACAAGGCTAACCAACACAGTATAGTACAGAGCACCAAATAGTTAGTTAGGTTTTCCAAATTAAGTAAAAGAAATGTCAAGCATTTGAAAGTTGCTTTCCTTCTGTTCTATCCCATTAGTTTATTGGAATTAAAGAGCAATGCTTTGAATTTCTTTGATAAGTGTTTGGAGTAGGTCTTAGGTTGGTCTCCTGTTAGTTGAGGTTCTATCTTGGAACAAAGTGAGAATCCAACAGCTAACATAACAAGGTTAGTCAGCTAGCTATAGCTTAGAAAGGCTAATCAGCAAAAATACTACAAACCTTAGCTTGGGTAGAATCAATACTGGGCATATATCCCTTTGACAAAGTGCTAGACTTGGAGTCAGGAAAACCTGAGTTCAAATCTGACCTCAGACACTTACTATGATCCTGAGCAAGTTACTAAATCTTTTTCAGCCTCAGTTTCCTCACCCGTAAAATGGAGTTAATAATGGCAGCTACCTCCCAAAGTTTTTGTAAAGATAAAATGAGATATTTGTAAAGAGCTTTGAGTACATTAAAGTACTATATAGATACTAGTTGTTATATGGAAATGCATCTACATCTGGAAGGATTATGTTGTTGAAACATTCACCATTTCTGAAGATCCTCAATTGGCCACACAAGTGGGCATTTTTGTGTCTGTAAGTTAGCAGGAAACTACCTCAGTTGAGCCAGAGGCTACTAGGAAGATACATCAAGGGCAGCACAAATTAAACTTTATGTCCTTAAGCCAATCATGTTCCAGGGAGAGTTTTTTTTCACTTTTCAGGAAGAAAAAAAACCTAGCCTAACTTGCATAGGGGAAAGGGCTAGGATATTTCTCACACTACCTTTCTATCCCTTACCAAAGATCTTAAGATCTTCCTTCTAGTGGAATTTTCACCACTTAGATAATTTTAGAACTGTTACTAGATAATCCTAATCTTGTTGATTTGAGGGTCCTGCAATAAGCATTACCAGGGAAAAAGAGACAAAGACCTAAAAAGATAGGCAACTTAAAAAACCTAATGCCCCCTGAAAGAATGGCAAAAAAAAAATGAAGAGGACAAAGACTAGAAATCTTCAGTTTTTCCTCAATACTTTGGAAGTACCATGTCCCAGATCTCAATGATCTAGTCCATGTTGTGTGTGACACCAAATCTTGACAGTTACAACCTACTATGATAAGTTTCCTGATGTATTATGGCAAAAATGAGCAGAAGCAACACCAGCAACATCAAGAACACCAAACAGATTATGGTTAACATCTATGGAAGTCATAGATTTATCTGTTGACATAAAGTAGGTTTAGTACCAAGAACATTAGAGGGAAACTACTGATGGTGACATCTGTCATTGCTATAGATTCTTCATATGTCAGTCACCTGAGGTAAAGTGGCCAAGAAGTCATAGACCTCTTACATACATACCAGTTTAGATTCTGGTAACTGAAGCTTTCTCAGTACTGCCTCCCGCTCAAATTCCTGGGCTCATCATCAAAACCTTTATCTCCTTGAGAGCCACATCCTAACATGGGATCATACCAAATTTTCCTCCATTACAGGGCTCTGTGGAGGGGGTGCCTCCTTCCACAGAAATTAAATAAAAGACCCTTCCTTACATTCATCCAAGGATTCAGAATCACCACTAAGTCAGCTGGAGGGTCACTAATGTTTACAAATTAATAATACATTCACCATAGTTCTATAGTATGATAGTTTTAACATCCCCCCCATTGCTATTATAAAGCATTTCATCTCACAACAATACAACCTTTTGATCCCCCATGCTCTTTTTGAAGAGTTGTCTAAATCAAACCAGAAGAAAGTAAGTCAGCCAATTTGTGTGTTCTTGAGCTATAGCTAAAGTTGTATATAGTCCAGGTTGTATATAGCCCACTGAGAGAACAAACACTTCAAGGCCCAGGTGATTGATAGGGGAGTAATAAAGAAAGGCCAGAGTATGTACATTGGAACTATGTCTAAATATAGGTCATTCTTGTTAGGCAAATCTTATTGGAGATAAGATTTAAAATATTGTTGGATTGGCAATTCCTTGCCCTTTGGTAGTTGTTATTGATTTGTTGGTTTTTTGATAATGAAGCCTCCCACAGCTCATGAGGTGGACATCTGGGCTGGGCAATTAGGTATAATGGCGCAAGGTATTGATTAGCAGGGACAAAACTCTTGCACTGAGATGTGGATGTACCATTTTATCATTTGGTGACAGGTTGAGGGCCACTTGGGTTAGGGGGGTGCTCCTACTGGTACAAGGAGCTCAGTTGTGCAGGAATATCTGCCTCATCCTTAGGGAGATTACATGGTCCCATACTCTGAACAATGTGTCATCACTCTTCCAATTCCAGATTCATAATGGACTCACTTCCATCTTCTGTTGTAATGACTCCACCCTAGTTGATTAGATCCTCAAAGAGCACAGGATGCCATTGATGGAAGTGTTGACATGGTACATAAATACCTGTATGCAGTGGGAGGCTTCAGTGAAATGCTTCCATTGATCCCCCTCTGTAGGCTTTGGTTGTCCATTCCTGTCTTCTCCACGACCCATACCACTTGGCTACCACTTCTATAAACAGTATAGATGAAGATTATCTCTGCTCCACCCCTCAGGGCTCTCTCATATACCAGCCACATGGCCTGCAGCTCAATTTACTGGGGATATTTGCTTATTCCCCTGATTCCCTAGATTAGTGGCTGCTGAAATTCGTGTGTATTCTTCTATAGTAGATGGAGCCTGCTGGCAAAC